TTTTTTTTTCTTGTAATTATATTTCTTAGAAGTATATCCATATATGAATAATATATGAATAATAAATGCTAAATAATAATATTGAAACGTATTATGAAATTTCTGTGGAAAAAGATGATATATGATATATGATATCATTCTATTTTTGCATTTTTTATCATAATTGAATTGATCATGATACAAAATTAAATTTGTTGAAGTGAATTTTATTCTAGAAATTGGACTTAATAATTGGAATTCAGAAATAGTAATCACGATTCGCAAAGTTCTCTATATGCGCATAGCTATTTCTAGAAAACGTTAACGCGGTTATCAAAGCAGAAATGCCTCAAATAATAATCATCTACTTTGGTGCTCGATTTATTATTAATTGTATGCAACGATCCGAATAATTTCAAAATATTCATTATTGTTACTTCTATGAATTTAAAATAATAATAAGAAGAAATTTTATCAGATGTATTAATATTTGAAAATTTCAGGTACGATCACTTGACAGAAGTGTTGGCCAAAATACTCACTGAGAGACCAAAAAATGCAGTAGATATTTTCGAGGAATTTAGCAGAAAAGTAAAAGAGGAGAGATTCAAAACTAAATCCAGTCATCTTCGAGACATGTACGTTCCACCGACTCAGTTCGAGCATGCGAAAAAAATCATCAAACTGTTCAAGGTGCGAACAATCGGAAACAATTAATAATTAAATAATCATTAATATTCTTATAAATAATAACGCGATTCACCTGAGAAATTTAATTATACTTAATTACACTTTTCCTATAATTATAGAAACTAGAAAAATTCTATGAAACTATAGGAGAAAAAATCGAAGAAGATATTGAGGAAGATGAAGATAAAAAGAAGAAAATACCAAATATGTTAGATTTTTTGTTTTATTTCGAGCAAACTGGCATAGGATTACCTCGTAGAGAATTGGTGTTGCTTAATTTGTCTATAAGGGAACTCATGGCTGAGAATCCTATAGAAAATGTCAGGTATATACTAATAATTTTCACTCAAAAGTTTTAAGATAACTTCTATTTATATTTGATATAAGTTGAATCTTAAATATAAGTATATTTTTTTAATTGTAATTTATATTAAAATTATCAATCTTTAGAGGGATGAATTCATTAAAATCAGAAAAGAAATTGTTTATTTAAAAAAAACAATATTTTTTTCAACATTTGAATAAATGTAATAAATGTATCTTAAGATTTTTGAATGATAATGTATATATATAAAATTTCTTAGTAGAAAAAAATATTTAAAAATTAATAATTTAACATGGTAGATTTTGGGGAAAAATTCTCGGAATTCCGAAAAATTATTATGTAGTGGAAGCAGATTTACAACCAGAGGAACTAAATTTAAGAATAGAGGTAAGAATAATTCGAAACGAAAAAGAAAGGAACATCTCTATATACTTTTTCCGTGATTAATTAAATGAATATTTATCCACTTTGATAATCTTTCAATTGTCTAGAAAATTTTTTTTTGAATAATTTTCTTGAATCGTTATAAAACAATACGACACGGAGAAAATGAATTTCAGAGTGAAAGAGAGCAAAAACACATTTTGAATCTCGTCCACGCGTCTGCAGAAAATGGCGGAAGAAGAGGAACGGAGACGTCAAGAAAAGCAAGCGAAAGCGGAAGAAGCGGCAAAAGCCGAAAAACAAGCTGTTGAAGACATGGAAGGAGCGACACAGGAAACGGGGAAAACAGAGGAAGAAGCGGCACCCGAGGGCTTGAAGCTCGTCTTTCCGCCTCTACCTACTCGTACATGGATACCACCACCGGAAATACCTTCAGAGAAACTCGGAACTGGCACAAATACCAAAGTACATTTTAATTTTTTCAATACATAATCGAAAATAATAAAATAAAAATTAAAAAAGAAGTCATTATCAAAAGAAAGAGAAGTTAATCATAAAAATGGATTAAAATTTAATTTTTTAAAAATAAATTTAAATCCAAAATTTTATGAGATTTCGAAATTTTTAAAATTAAAAATGTTCTGTTTTTTTATTAATTATTTAAAATTTTACGAAATACAAAAAATAGAAAAAAATAAAAATTATACTTATATTTAATAAAAATTTAACTTTCTAACTATTTAATTTGGTAACAGATTCATAAAATTCAAAAAAAGAGAGAATATATTCAAAAAAGTATTAAAATTAAGAAAGAATAGTAATTGCATGTATTAGTAAACGATATCATCAAGCAACATTCAATTAATCAAAGTGAGATTGTATTGCACGTGTCGAAAACATGGACGGCACAAACATTCACGGTGCAATGTTCCATCGAATTAATATGCAACACAAAACACTGGGCGTGTTTTCCTGAGCGTGATCCTAGTGGTCGACTTTGTTCCAGGTATATTTTGTATGCAACGAGCCCGGTTTGGACAAGTGGATCGAACTGCCACCGGTTACACCGCAGCAGATAGTAATTGCACGATACATTGTTCGTTATTGCACAGGAAATTTAGAAACACCGGTAACGTATCCATTTTATAAAAATAGAATAAAATAAAAAAAGGAAGGAAATAAAAGAAATATATAAATTGTAAATAACCATGATTATTTTCGTTTTATAGATTCACACTTTCCCACCATTTCCTGGTATGGAAAAGAATTATCTTCGTGCGCAAATAGCCAGGATTAGTTCGACTACCCAAGTTTCGCCAATTGGGTTCTACACTTTTGGCATAGGGGACGAGGAAGAAGAGGTAATGGAGGAAATGGCAGAAGGTAATACATTATACTTTTATTTTGAAAAAAAATTAGAGAAGAGAGTACAATGCTATAAATTATTCGAAACGCTCGTTATTATGTTTTATTTATCGAGTAGTTTCTCTTAACCATTCTTAACGCTGGTTTTATTAATCATAAAACCATGGTTTTTTTCTTTTAACTTAAGTTTCTTTATGTGCCATTTATTGCATTTAAAGGTGGAGTATTGTCTGAGAACGTGAATTATGATCCGTTGCCTATTAAAGATTTGATAGACCCTTCTATGTCGAACTGGTGTCATCATATGCCCTATATTTTGAAACAAGGTCGTATTGAATGGTGGAGTCCACGGAAACAGGAAGAAGTAAATTTAATTAATTAAAATATTTTTTTCAATTCAAAAAGAAAAAATTAGAATCACGATTTTAATTTTCATGAAAATTAAGTAAGTTTAATCAAATATTCTTAAAAAATGCGATGTTAATATGATCTTAATATGATTTTCTTTAATAAAAGAACTCTTGAAAACAAACTCTCAAAACAATTCTTGAATTAAAGATAATATTATATTCGAATATTAAATATAAATAGGTATTAAATTTAAATAGATCACAGAAAAAATTTCACAAAATTAGGAACTTGAAGAAGAAATAGGTGAAGAAGAAGAGGAGGAAGAAGAAAAAGAAGAGAAGGAGGTTGGACCTCCGCTTTTGACACCTTTGTCGGAAGATGCTATAATAGACTCGATAATACCGTGGGGTACTTCATTATCTTCCCGTGTCCAACCTGATCAGGCGGTTGCATTAATTAGATCAAACATTTGGCCTGGAGCGTATGCTTTTGCTTCCGGAAGGTGCGTGTACTATAGACCCTATTCAATAATGATTTTCCATTAAGCAGACGTATCTATGATATTTATGTGACCGACGAGTATAAATTCCCCTTGGGATATCGAAGAAACAGCACGGCAAGCTCGAGAGCGAAGGGAAGGTTTTATCGTGGGACGAATCAACCGGGAAAAGAGGAATTATGGCGCGTTAAAGGAAAATTAATGCGCGGGAAATTACGCTAATGTTACTTTAATGGTGTCTCTCTACAGGCGTTGCGCTAACGTGTACATTGGTTGGGGTCACAAATACACGGCGTACAATTACAGCCCTCAGTCTATGCCACCTGTACAGGATCAGTATAAAATCGGTCCTGAGATTATGGAAATTCAGGATCCAACCTTCGAACAAGAAGAGGCCTTTAGAATTGCTCATTTGCCGCCTCCACCTGTTATACCGACAGGTAAAATGAATATAAATAATTATACAGATTGACTAATATTTTCTCTATTTTGTTTTTTCATTATTTGATGTTCATTTTCATAGAAGAAGAAGAAGAAGGTGTAGAAGAGGAAGAAGAAGAAGAAGAAGAAGAGGACGAATAATATAATAGATAACTGCATTATCAAGCAATGATTTTGGTTTGGATTTGTTAGTAAAATCGCGTTTATATACTTTTATATTTAATTTAATATTTAAGTTTAACTTTAATATTTAACTTTAATATTTAACTAACTATATAACTTCAATATTTATTTATTATTAGTTTTTAATCGTATTTATCAAAAATTAATATTATAATGTAGATAAGTATTAGATATAAAATATAATATTATATAGCATTCTGATTTAATTTAGTATATCGAAAAGATAATGTGTAATTACAGATAAATTGTATCACAAAAGAGATGAAAATTAGAATAGACGTGACATCTTACGGAATTTTGTATCACATATTCTAATATATTGATTTCAATCTGTATTTCTTATGCCATCTAACATAATATGATCGTACTATTTGTACGAAATATATTGCTTTTCAATAGAATTAAAAAATATCACTTTTAATTTAAAAAATTTATGATATCAAAAATTATAAATTATTCAATTGATTTAAACATAAGCGAATTTATTTTTTAGAAAAATATAGAAAAATATCGAAGTAAATATCAATAATGTAAATCAATAAATGTGATATAAAAATGATAAAAATAGAATAAACTTTTAAAGTGATTCAAAATCAATAAAATGTAGCTTATGTTTTATATTTTTTTACTTTTTTAAACTTTTGTTTTTATCAATTAATAATTATTAATATATTTAATTATTTGCTTTTAGTTATTTTAACAATAATATATAATGTCTATGAAATCACTACTACATCTTTATTTTATTTATAAAAATAAATGTAACAAATCAAAAGAAATTAAATCTAATTGTTGTCTTAATTTTTCTTCTTGTTGCATATTATCAAACCACCTAGACACATGTACATATTGAGCTTTCTCTTGATGATTTAATTCTCGCTGCAATAAGAAATAGGTCAAAGAGATTAAATTGATCTCTACAATCTACTAAGGATTCCTATGTTTTACTTATTATACTTTTTATTACCATTATTGAATGTAGAGCATAATATAATGTAATATCAGCAATAGTTTTCTTTGTACCAGTTAAATATGTGTTATCCCTTAGTGCAATATTTAATTCCTATAAAAATAAAATATAGTTTTTTAATTTATATATTTTTGAAATATATTTTGTATAAATCTAATCAAATTAGTATTTATTCTTAATACAATTATATAAATAATTGGATTACCTGCAAGATTCTTTTCGCATTAGCGGGAGTATCAGCGTAATTGACACAGACAACTGCATATTCCAGCCACTGACGTGATAATGCTTTCATTTCATTATCAATACCAAGTATATCAGGGTACTTGGAATTTTCAATTAGAAATTGAATTATAGTACTAAATCCTTCTATTTTTTTATTTGATTCCCGTTCCATAGTAACAATTACCTATAAAATGATATAAAAATTAAATTAATTTTATTCTTTAATATAATTTATTTTCATAAAAAAACTTATTATTTACATTTTCTTGCATTTCCAGTGGTAATGGTGAGACATCTAAGTAATTTGAAATTCTTTCTAAACATTCTATGTTACATAAAACCATTGTTTTAAACTTTACACTTTCTCAATCTTCTTGTTTTTTTTTACTAGTTATGGAAATAATTTTTAGGTTATGTTTAAAAAGGACAATACGTTGACGTAACAATCGATGGATAAATTCGCATCACATTCTATATATATTCAATAATTTACTTTATTGCAAATATTTATATGGAATATGTAATTATATACACGGAATATTTTAACATTAGTTAGTCTTTATTTCAAATATACAATTTAATTGTAACAGTTGTATAAAATTTGCGACTAACAATAATAGATATCATTCTTTTATTATATTTGTTTAACATATTTAAAATTACAAAATTAATTGACTTAGTTTAAGTATTTAGACCTAAGTCTTTCATCTCAAGAGAGAATTTGTTTTATCAGAATCAGAAAAGTATTTTCATAAATTACATTAAACTATATGATAAAGAAGTACTAAAATCTATTAAATTATTTTTTTATATCATGTTACAATAGGAATGAATAATCAATTAATAAATAATTAATTTCTGATTAATTAATTTTTTTTCAATAGTGTTCCCATAGTTTGGCATTTAATTTCTGAATGTTTTTAATATGAATTATTTTTTTCTTGTTGTATTATAGATTTTACATATTATATATAATTTTTTAACCAAATATAATATTAATATGATTTTATGGGAATTTTCAATAGTGTTTTTTAATAAAATAAATCAGATAAAGAGACAACAAGAAAAAAATATTACAATATTTATATTTTGTTTAATAATTCAGTCATAGTTATATCAATTAAATTGATTGATCTACATAGAATATGTCATACATGTATATACATGCAATAATAAATTAAATTGTATTATAGAAATATATGAGAATATTTTTTTTATAAAGTTGGTAAATTTATATATATAGGATTTTTAAAAATTGATTTCCAATAAAATGCTTTTTTTCTTATAAATGAATTTTTCTTACAAATATATAAAATACATATTTATGTTTCACATAAAAATTTTGTTAAGTATATTATAAAAAATCTTTTAAAATAACTTTTTTCATATGTAAAATAATCATGAAATAAATTTCACTTGTCTATTGTTAAAAACAATTATAATTTTTTTCATAAAACAATTTTGCATAAGTACATGTTTATCCGTAATTAAATATGTGATTTCACATAATCCAAGACATAAAAAAAGTTATATGCAATTAAATGCAGGTACTCTTTTTTTTTTTGTAAGGTGCTCATTTAATATTTATCTATTTAAAAAAGTCTCTTTTCATATGAAAAAAGACTATGAACATTTCCTTCTTGCTGAGCAGAATGTGTTCTTCTTTCAAATTTCAATTCTCCACTATACATCATAGATCTTAAAGTAGAGAGAGATTTTGCTCCAATGTCTTGACATCCATGTTTAATACCACATAATAGATAAGGTAAAAACTTTAAAACACTTCCTTTATCAACTATTGAACCACTAACACCTTGAGCTACTTTCAATTTGTCCATCTCATTATGAAAATACCTATCCATTGCTGATCCTTGTGCATCTTTTCTATTCATGGCTTCTAAAGAACCCATACCTCTATATTTTTTTAGACGGACACCATCGCTAAAAAAATATTCACCTGGTGCTTCTGAAGTACCAGCCAATAAAGATCCCATCATAACTGTACTAGCCCCTAAACTTAAGCCTTTGATAATGTGCCCAATAGATTGAATACCACCATCTGCTATAACAGGTACACCAAATTTTCTTGCATATTCTGCAACTTTATATACAGCAGTTGCTTGAGGTCTTCCCACAGCCATAACTTCTTGGGTAATACAAATAGACCCACAACCCATTCCAACTCTTAGAGCATCAGCTCCAGCTTCTATAAGATTTTTAGCTTGCATGGTTGTTACAGCATTTCCTGCAATTACTTGCAATTCTGGATATTCTGATTTAATGTATTTAATCATATCAATCTGATATTTAGAATTGCCTTGAGAAGAATCCAAAACGATTACATCAACACCAGCTACAGCAAGAAGTTGTAATCTCTGTTTATCAGCATTGCGTGTGCCAATAGCAGCACCAACTAATAATTGTTTATTCTCATCTTTACTAGCATTTGGATAATTACGATTTTTTTTCAAATCAGTTCTTGCCATTAAAGATACTAATTCTCCCTTTTCATTAACAATTGGAAGTTTTCCTTTTTTAGATTTTTCAAGAATTATATTTGCTTCTTGTAATGTTACACCAGCAGTTGCAGTAATCAAATTTTCTAATTTTGTCATTATTGTTTCTAATTTTATATATTGCTGATTTGTTGTACTTTCCAAAAAATCAATATCTCTGGATGTTACAATGCCTAATAATTTGCCCCCAACTTTTCCAGTATTTGTAATAGGAATACCAGAAAAACCATGTTCAGCTTTTACATTTAGAACATCTTTGACTGTATGATTGGGTGATAAAACTACTGGATCTCTAATAAAACCATGTTTATATTTTTTCACCTAAAATCATAAAAAAAAAAATTATATATATATAAAATTATTTAAAATTATAATTTTAAATACAAATTCAAAATTTAAAAATTCAGAAATTTTTATTTTTTTTCTTTTTAATATAATAAATATGAAAAAAAATGAGCATAAATGAGATTAATAAGAATAATTCAATTAAGCATAAGAAATTTTCTACAAAATTTTTAACAGAAAATAAATATTTATTATCAATTTATATATTATCGTTGATTACGATGTTACTATTCGATAAATTAGAAACATAAGATCAAATGAAATGTATATTAATAAACGCAAATGTATTATAAAATTTTAGGTGCCATAAGTACTATTTTATATTAAACAAATGGAAATATTTAAATAAAAAAGAAATATACCTTATGCACTTCGTTGGCTTGATATTCGGGTGTACAATTATGATGTATTATGCCAATTCCTCCACATAGAGCCATGGCTATAGCCATGTCGGATTCTGTAACTGTATCCATAGGAGATGATACCAATGGTGCTTTGATCATAATTTTCTTTGTCAATGGCGACAATAAATCAACTTCGTCGGCAGTAAAATCAATATAACCCGGTAAAATAATAAAATCATTGTAGGTAAGACCATCACCAGTAGTGAATAATTGTCCTGCTGAAAGTCCATCGTCCGGTAAGGGTACATCTGCCGGTTTTGTGTCACCGATCACATAGTCTGCCATCGTTTTTTTTCAATCGACGATTGTTTATATTTTATGCCTCCGTAAAAAATTAGTTATATTTTAATTAATATATAACTACCGTATAACGAAGTTATATACACGCTTTTTCAACACAGATGTTAAAAATCGCGGGCTTTCCGTATCAAACCGGAGATCTCCAGGCAAAATGACCGAAATCAACGTGCGCACAGTGCATTTATAGTTTATGTGAAGCGTGTTTCCCCCTTTCGTCTAATGATGGGTACTATCGGCAACGATGTTTTACGAATATAGTCGAAAATGTCCGATTGTTTCAATTTGAATATATTTGGCATAAATAGAACTAACAATTAGAAAATTAAAAAAGATATATTGTAAATATTAAAGATATAATATAAACGGACAATATAATCTATAAACTAAAATATAAGTATAATCTTCAAGTGAAATTTTAATTATAAATGTGTAAAAAAGGAAACATTTACACATAGAATTAATTACAAAAATACTTGTTTAGTACAAAAATAAATACTAATCAATAGATAAAGAACAAACCATAATAAAATATTTTAAACTTGCACACAGTGCGAAGATCATCGTTAATTTTATGCATTATTGGTACATTTCTTACATGCATGCTAAAAATTTTATAAAATTTTATAAAATTATAACATTCTCATTTGTTTAAATATGAAAGTATTAAAATTTCAATCATAAACTTACTGGATAGAAAAAAATTTGTCTTACACCATTAAAAATACCACCAAATGCTTCTTGAAATGAAGATAAAATATATTCCACTACCAGTTCCAAATAACTTAAATTTTCATAATCATCGTATTCTTCGTAATAAAAATAATCGTACAACATTGGTAAAAATATTATTAGAATATACATCATACCACCAAAAAAAACTAAAAATTAAAAAAAAGCAAAAATATTAAATATAATTGATTAATTAAGAAGGAAATCAAATTTAAATTAAATAAAATAAATACTTACTAATAGATTTAAGTTCCAAAAACTGTTTATCATTTTTATTCCCATTATATCTTAATTTATTAACTATAGGTTCATTACTATTTAAATGTGAAATCTTTTTTGTATTAGAATTTTGTATACCATCTTTGTGATTTGCTTTGATATTATCATTTATATATAATTGTTTTGTTTGCATAATATTTGATTCAAGATTTGAATCTCTATATAAAAAATTATAAAAAATAAGTTATTATTTTTTTAAAATAAATATACATATCATATGTATACATATTTTTATATAACTTACAATGCCTTATTTATGGCAGTAGAAAGAGCTGTACATTGTTGTAATGTTTGCAGTTCAGGATTAATTTTTAACTGATTTTTTAATTCTTTACCATATACTTCATTTGTTTTTCCCTGTTTTCCTTTTTCAGATATACCCACTGTTAAATTATACGGATATTGCTGTTCAATACTGCTTGTGTTCTCTATTTTATGTCTCAATCTATTGTAATATTCCCAATAACTTTTATTTAATAATTCTTGGGTTTTTGGAGAAATTCTTTTTGATCTTTCAAATATATCATCTATATTTGATCTTGGAGATGTTTCATATTTGCAACGTTCTCTTTGCAAACATATTTTTGACAAACTTTTAGTAATATCTTGTCTTGAAATTATATGTTTGTTGTTTTGCAAATAATTATTTTCAATGAAATTTGAGACATTATCAATTTGCGTACACATATTTTGTTCGTGTACAGGAACAGGATTAAAGTGTTGACTCATTTTTCTTGTCTTATGATTACCGAATTTATGAATGTTCGTTTGATTACGTTTATATTTATTATATTGACAATTAGGCCATACTAAAGTATAATCAGAATCTATTAATGCTGAATGAGAATTCTTTTGAAAATAAGATTTAGCTTTTCTAGAAAATCTAGCTGATGCTTTTTTTTGTTTAAATGTAATATATGGTTCAGAATTGCGACAAAGTTTTCTAGTACATTCATTTTTTATACAAGGTAAATATTGCTCAGATTTATTTCTTCCTCTTGTTTCATAGATATTTGCTTTGTAATTTTGATATAAGGATTGATTTTGATTATTAACAATTATATTAGATTGAGGTACTGATTGAAAATATTCATTTTCTTTTGATAAATGATTTACTTGTTCATGATTTAAAACTGGAGTTTTAATATTATCATGTATAGTATCAGTATTAATCTTATTAACTTTGTTTGTAAATTCATTTGCATCAATAAATTCTTTTTTTTGAATAAATTTTTTTGTAACAAATTCAGAATCTGTTGTTTCTTCACAAGTTGTATTGTATGTAATTTTTTTCATTTTTAAACATTGGAAAACATGATTATTTGTATTTTTTTTATTTATATTTGGAATATAATATTCAGAATCGCTAGATTCTTGTTGTGCATGTTGAATATTTAAGTTTGGCAATTTTTCAGAGGCAATTAGATTTTCTGAAAAATCTGGTTTAAAACAAGTTTTTTTATTTTCTTCAAGTATTTTATTTTGTATTAACGTAGTATTTTTCTCTTCATAAATACTTTTTTCATCTGCATCTGAAAAACTATAATTTCAATGAATGGAAAATAAAGAATTATAAATGTTTGTAAAATTATTACTGTTAATAAGAGATTTGCTTTCATTCTGTGCTTGATTTGAATGAATATGTTGTTCTGACTCTTTCTTCATTAAAGGTAAAGTTTTAGTTTGATTCTTGTGTTCTAAATGATTTAAACATTGCTGTATTACATTACTTGTTCCTGTAGAAGATACTTGCATTGGTATATTTTGATAAGTAAGAACTGGAAGTTGCACATTATAGCATTGATTTATACATTCTTGAGGTACAGTGATTGTGTCAACATGTATTGCATTTAAAGCATGTGACTGTAGTTTTTTGTCTAACACAAAAAACAACTGCCCATTATTTTCCTAAATACATTAAAATAATAAAGAAACTTATTCTGTTATTTATATTTTTAATAAAAATTAATTATAAAATATTAGAACATATACTTGCACTGGTAAAGAAGTAATATCTACTTGAGTATTTGCATCATTAACAGCTAATTTTGATATATGTTCAGAAGAATATAAATTTTTTACACATTTATTTTTTTCTATAATTTCATTTTCATTTCCATCTGAAATATTATCTTGTTTTTTTGATTCAAAATTATTTTTAGAACTTTTTCGTTCTAAAAGCAATTCCTTGTCAATGATAAACTTAATATTTTCTCCATGATTTTCTATTAATTCAGTTTTTTTTTCTTCATGAGATTTTTGTGCTTCTTGAATTTTAATTTGTTCTCTAACATATTATAATTTTGAAAATTATCAATATATAATTATATATATATAATATATAATTATGTAATATATTATCAATTAAAAATGATGTATACTTTTCAAATGTTAATTTTTCCATCTCTTTTATATTTAAATCTTCTGTAGAAGTAATAATAGATTGATCGTTTTTTTGTAATGATTCAGTTGATGTAACTTGATTTCTCTTAATATTTGTTACTCTATTAATATAATAATTATTATATTGATTTAATTTCTATTTATTTTTTATTTCTATTGATTTAAATAAAATACTTTTTAAAACGAGGATCTGTATAACCAGGAAATTTCTTCAAACTGTATAAACTTGAAGCAGCTTTTTGATGATGAAAGGAAGAATATGCACTATCTTTAGTTACTGTAGACTTAGGAGATCTGTATTTTTAAATATATTTCTATTAATATATATTTCATAAAATTTTATAATATTTTAATTTAATACTTACTGATTTAGAGGTGTTTGAACTATAGTACGACTCCTTCTAGGAGTTCCAGTTAATGTAATTATACATGGAGGTTCAATAGTATCATCAACATCATCAATTAATTTACGCTGCGGTATTTTAGGCCAAGAAGGATCGGCTGGTATACTAAAATAGTTTAAAATAAATTGATTTTTTGAAAAGAAAAAATAGATTTTAATTTTACCGTAGTGATCCAGCATTGTTTTTCTGTGGGACTGGTATCAAATTTTCACTGTTTACTAAAGCAACATGTATCAATTAAATTGTCATTTAGAAAAAGTATTTTAATATTCTTACTTTTTATATGTAATTGTAGAGCATTTGCATTATCTTGATATGCCATATTGAAGCAGTCGTACATTTCAATACTTTCCACTTTTTTTAATACATTTGTAAAAGTATAATTCCTGAACTAATTATATAAATTATTAATATTAGAAAAAATACAAAAACTGTACAGGTTTAACGTTAATTTCATGTTTTACAAAGTAATAGGTCTGTACTTCAAGTAGAATTATTCTTGTTTTCTTGTAGTCAAATGTTTTGAATATATACAATAGTAAGAAAAAAAAAAAAACTTTTATATTAAAACAAATATTTTTATTCTTAATAATAATAATAATAGCCTTTGTACAAAAAGATCGAAGATCGATTATTATAATCAGTCATTTTGTTTTATTAATGACAGATGTATTTATATAATATGTATATCATTCTAATCTTAATATTAAAATATTATATGTACAATAAATATACAACTGTAGATGCAGGAACAATTAACTATGATCTACATCAGTATCTTAGAGTTTGATTTATATTACATTAAATTAAAGTATATTTGCGCACCATAATGATTATAATATCACAATATCAAGCTAATTATACACTTATGTAGGGACTTAATATTTTGCTTACAAAATATTACAATTTATGATATAAGATTTATAATTTTATATTATTATATATGTGTATGCATATTGTATATGTGCAAATTTAAAATCTGTGTGAATAATATAATAAATAATTTTTTTAGATGTTCCTCATTGAAACATAATAAAAAAAAATTCTATTTATTTTCTACTAAATACAGAAGTTGTTAATATTGTTTTATACACAAACGAAATAATCAACATAGCAAAATATATTCTCTGTTTTTTATGAATAAATAAATTGATTACCAATGTTATGTTGTAATTAAAATATACTTTGACAAAGGAATGTATCAGTATAATTATTTTGACTAGATTTGAGAAAGATGATAGAAATATTATTTTTATCAAATATAAAAGTTGTATGCCATAAAATACATTAATGAATCTGGCCACCACATTTCTTAATATTATAGAATTTGAATTGGTCCAAAATCTAAATATAATTTCATTATAACGGTCTTATATCATTAAAATTGCATAAATATCTCACTGGCATTGTCTTAAAATTTAGGGCATACTTCATTTTGAATAAGTACATAATATTTAACAAATATTTTTACATAACATACATTATATCTTTTGAAAAATATAAATTAAGTTCTTTTATTTTTAATAATTCATTTTATGAAATTTTTATATAACATGAAAAATTGAGAAATATTTAAAAAAATTACTAAAATAATACTTTTTAAATGAAGCAATACTAATAATAATTATTATAAATAATTATTATCAATTTTAAAATATATTACAAAATATTATTGGTAAAATAAGTACTCTTTTGTTTTTCAGACTTTTTTATAGAAACAAGTGTATGCAATTAATCTTCTGAAAAATTAAAATTGAAGATTGTACACAGAATTATTATTTTTATAAATTACTATTGCACATATAATTAAATAAAGATATAACATTAATGATAAAAAAATATCTTTAACATATTTATCACAAATTATATATGTATTATTTCGCATGAAATATTAGAATTTATTTTAAATTCATATATTATAATTTTCTAGAAATTGTAGTGAATATAAAAGCTAAGTATAACTTTTAATATGTATGCATTGTAAAAAATATAAAAATTCTTTCAAAAAAAGAAATCAAGCAATTATAGCAAATCAATTAATATGAAAAACTTTTTTTAAGAAATATAATTAAATATTTTTCTATTTCAAGAAAAAACTTTTGAGAGCTCAGATAACATACATATTGAACAATGTACAATTATTGTCTGGCAGTATTGTAATATTCTGCACACAAATGAAATTGAATTTTTATGATAAATTAATTTAGTAACATGTATGTTTTTATAAAAAAAATTATTTTAGAATTCTTAACATTGATTATATAATGCTTCGTAAAAATGCTTTGTAACCAAATATGCATATATCATTCATTTTAAATTATATATAAAATTTGTTTAGTAAAGATATTCATATTAAGAAGACATATATAGTACATTAGTACATTAACTTTTTATGCATATTGACGAAGCATTTGTTAGGTATAGAAATATACATACACAAAACACATTTATTACATATCTTTTTTCGTTATTGTCGAATTAAGCTTCGTGTTCGCCGCTATTTATTCCTATGAGTGATTCTGTTTGTTCTGCTTCAAGATCTGGTATTCTAAAATTGAAGATATTATTTTTTTTAAATTTATTAAAACTAAAATTTATAGCAGTATATATTTTTTTAATTAATATACCTTATTGATCTATTTTTCCTGCAAATCCAAATATAAATTCTTTTTATTAAATCCATTACTGGATCCCAATTGTCATAATATGATAGAAGAGATACAGTCAGAAATGCCAATAGCATTGGAATGGTTCCTAGATAGAAAATACAAGGGTATTCGACTTTTTTTAATAAGACATCAGCTATCATTGACATTGGCATAAGTAAACTAACTGCCAAAGTCGCGATAAGAGATGACGTTAAAAAGCAACCCCTACAAGTAGACATGAAATGAATATAATATATATTAAATACAAATTAAATTCAACATTTTTTTTTCGTTACAAACATACCACAACCAAAGTACTTCACTTAAAACTGTACCAATCAAACCATTGATAATTAAAAATGTCCACTGATGAGTATCTGGCCATTCAAATTCTTCCCAATGGCCATAATGAAGAATAAAAAATACAGGCCATAGAAGTGTCAAATTAAAAAGTCCAACAAATCCAAAAAACATTGGAATATCCATCTTATCTTCATGATCTACTTTTCTCTTTAAAAACACTATATAAGCTGCATAAAAAAATGCACTGACTAGGGCCAATATTATGCCTGTAGGTATTCTACTAGTTTCTATAGTTAAATCTG